AGATTCTTGGCGTATTAGTGTGTAAAAATAAGTCCCTTAACAGAAAGTGAACCTAGCTAAGAGTCTAAAATTCACATTTAACCCAACTTGTTTTTAATTTGCCACCATGAACACATGAATGCAAGCTCTGTGCTTGCATAAAGGAAGCAGAATACCTTATGCAATCATAAGTATCACTTGTGGAATGGTTATATGCCACTGCTTCCCTCTACCTAGACAAATCCTCTTGTTCATTTAAGGTGCACTGCCATATAGCCTTCTCTGACCACTGAAACACACTAGGCTCTCTCCCCTCTTAACTCTTAACACTTATTGTCTATATGACAGTTTTGTAATGGATCACATATGATTTTGTATCATTATTTATTAATTCCTTATAATTTGATCCCCTATAGGAAGTCTCATGAGGGCTCATTATTTTGGTCTTAAATTTCTCTTCTGTTCTCTAAAGTACTTAGCATAGTACTAGGCATAAAGTTTCACAATATTTGTAGATTATTATCAAAACCCTGCAAGAGCCTACCAGAATAAGGATGGTTATTGTTTATTCAATAAATTTTACCTACAATGTAGCAGGCACTGTGTTAGGACTGGAAGCAGAATCAGAACATAATACGATACTGTGGTTCCAGGCTTCCGGAGTTCATAATGGACTGAAGAAAATCACAGATAATCAGATAATTAGAATACAGTAAGGTAAGTGCTATGACAGATATTTGAACCAAGCGAATATTAAGAGAATATTAAAGAGGGAAGGATTAACTCTCCAAAAGATGCCAGAAAATATTTCAACATTCATCTATTTAACAAATAGTTATTCACCATTTACTATGGGCCAGGCACTATGCTTGGTTCAAGGACACAGAGGTAAATAAATCACACAAGGTCACTATATCCACAGATTGTATAATCTAAGATTTACAGGGAAAGTGATTCTTGATTGAGTTGACAAACAAGTAGCAACTGACTCTGTAAAAAAAACACAGAAGGGCTTTCTGAGAAAAGAGACCAGCATCAGGTCCAAGAAAGGCCTGAAGGCATGGAAGAGAATAGTTTATACAAAGAACAGCAAGAAATGAGATATGGTTGGAGTGTGTACACGTAAATGAGAAGCCACAAGAGATGAGATAATAAGGTACACTGGGGCAGAACAGGAAAGATCTTGTATGCCATGCCAAGGCTTTTAGTTCAATTCATTTAGTATTTAGAAAAAGGTATTGTGGCCTACTACAGTCCAAGTCCTGTGCCAGCTACTAGTAACACGAAGTCAATAACACACAGTCTTTCAGGAAGTTGAGAAGGTAGCAGGGTACACACATGTAAAGAAATAATTGTAATAAAGCACAAATAAGTGCAATGTCGCAAGAATATTTAAGATACTGAAATGGCTCAGAGAAGGGAGTGATTGGATTGGCTCTGTGTCTAGGGAAAGAAAGGTGGTCAGGAAAGGCCTCACAGTAGAGGAGATTGTTGAACTAGGTCATGGGAGACAAATAGGATTTCATAAAATAATGATAAAAACAAGAATAGCAAACACTTGCAGAGTAGTTAATATGTGCCAGACTCTATTCCAAGCACCTTACATATACTGCCTCACTCAAACTTCATAATATCTTACAAAATAGGTAATATTATTATTAATCCTCATTTTATAGGGGAAGACAGACACAGAGATAATTTGTCCAAGCCCAAGGTCACAAAGGTACTAAGTGAGCAGCTGGGATTTTAACGCAGGCAGTTTGGCTCCAGAGTCTATGTTCTTAATCATGACACTGCATTTATTGTCTCCAAAACAAGAGGTTAAGGGCATTCCAGGCAAGCAGGACAATATATGCAAAGGAAAGCGCACAACATCTTTGGGGAATTGTGAGTGATTGACACTGGATGGAGTATAAATTAAAAGGGTAGCAGAGGATGAGGCAGGCAAGAGCTACGTCATGGAAGGCCTTGGATGCCATGAAAAGAAACGTGGTCTTTATCAACAGGTAATGAGAAATTACAAAAGAATTTGGCAGCAAGGTGACATAAGTAGATTTTCTTTTCTGTCTTAGCCATGTTTCTCTGGTGTAAGAGTGGAGAGGAAACTAACGGGGAAATGCCAAGGGCAGGGAGACAAGTCAACAGACCACAGCACTGCTCTAGATGAGAAACAACAAGATTCTGAATTTAAAGGGGAGATGAGCAAGTGAGTATGAGCAAAAAGGATTTTTAGTAAGCAGAATTGAAAATTGGATATAAGAGAAAAAAAAGGTAGGGATGATTCCTGGGTTTCTACTCCCAGTTACTTGGTACATGGATATAAACATTAGTATAGGAGAATAGAGAACAGGCTTAGCAACTAGAGCATTTAAGAATATTATGGCAAGACCTTGTCTCTACAATAAATCAAAAATTAGCCGGGCATGGTAGTGTGCGCCTGTAGTTCCGGCTACTTGGAAGGCTGAGGCAGAAGGATTGTGGGAACCCAGCAGGTTGAGGCTGTGGTGGCTGGGAGCGTGCCACTGCACTCTAGTCTGGGCGACACAGTGAGACTCCAACTCAAAAAAAAAAAAAAAAAGAATATTATTACATATGCCTATTGCTTATTCTGATTCCATAATCTGCATATCACTTATTTTCATCATCACATATAGTGATTCTCAACTGGGACACAAGTGGGGACACAGAGAGGAGAGGGGCAGGTGGAGGCATATTAGAATCTAGATGTTGCTGGGCTCGGTGGCTCAGCCTGTAATCCCGCGCCTTTGGGAGGCTGAGGTGAGTGGATTGCCTGAGCACGCGGGTTCGAGACCCACCAGGGCAGCGAGACTTCATCTCTACAATAAATCAAAAAATCAGCCAGGCGTGGTAGCGCATGCCTGTAATTCCGGCTGCTTGGAAGGCTGAGGCGTAAGGATCACCGGAGCCCAGCAGGTCAAGGCTGCAGTGGCCAGGAGCGGCCACTGCACTCCAGTCTGGGCGACAGAGTGAGACTCCAACTCAAAAAAAAAAGAAAAAAAAAAGAATCTAGATGTTTGTAGGTGAGGGTATGTGTAGTCCAATTACTCTTCTTCATTTTTTTCCTCCAGAGAATCTAATATAATGATTCTTCATTGAGAATTACTGCTGTACACAATTACCCATGAATATTGTGACAAAGCAGAAATAGTTAAAAAAAATTTGAGGCCGGGCTCGGTGGTTCAGCCTGTAATTCCAGCACTTTGGGAGGCTGAGGTGAGTGGATTGTCTGAGCCTGTGGGTTCGAGACCAGCCTGGGGAACTTGGCAAGATCTCGTCTCTGCAATCAATCAAAAATTAGTCGGGTGTGGTAGTGTGTGCCTGTGGTTCCAGCTACTTGGAAGGCTGAGGTGGAAGGATCTTCGAAGTCTAGCGGGTTGATGCTGGAGTGGCTATGAGCAAGCCACTACACTCCAGCCTGGGCAACAGAGTGAGACTCCGACTCAAAAAAACAAAACTTGTATGAAGTTACAGAACCTCAAGACTAGGAGAGACTTTATAGATTATCTAGAGTTCAGTAAGTCTCAACCAAGGGCTGCTTGGGAAACAAGTGAGGGCATTTTTTTTTTTATCACAACAGGAGGTGCTACTGGCGTTAAGTGCCTGAAAGCCAGGGACACTAAGCATTCTATAAATCACTGGACAGCTCCAAATAATGAAGAATCATCTTGTCCAAACAGCAACAGCATCCCCTTGAAAAAACACTGATATAGGTCATTTTCCACATTTTATAGATGAGGAAACTGAGGTTGTGGAGAAGAGAATGGCACACTAAAGATCACCCAGTTGTCCAGTTGGCCTAGAACCCAGGGCTTCTGTTTACATGCTCCTTCTCTACTTCCCAGCATTGGTCTAGGAAGTCTGTGAATCCAGTCGTCCAACTGCATATACAAGGTGGCTCAGCCTGTAATCCCGCTCCTTTGGGAGGCTGAGGTGAGGCTGAGGTGAGTGGATTGCCTGAGCCCGCAGGTTCGAGACCCGCCTGGGCAACTTGGCGAGACTTCATCTCTACAATAAATCAAAAATTAGCTGGGCGCAGTAGCGCGCGCCTGTAGTTCCAGCTACTTGGAAGGCTGAGGCAGAAGGATCGCCGGAGCCCAGCAGGTGGAGGCTGCGGTGGCTGGGAGTGGCCAATCCACTCCAGTCTGGGCAACAGAGTGAGACTCCAACTCAAAAAAAAAAAAAGCAAGTACTCAGAACACTGCCTTGCTGCTGTAGGCCTTTGACATTTTCTCTAGCCCCCGGTTTCTTTTCCACCTTCTAAAACCTAGGCTGGAGGTGCAGGTTTGACGGTTTCAGCATGAAAAGCCTTGAGATGGATGAGATCAGCCTGGCCAAAAACATAAAATGCGACAGAGCTCTGAGGAGCACTAACATCAGGAAGCTAGTGGAGGAAGAGGAACCAATAAAGGAAACGGAAAAGAAATAATGAGAAATGGAGGTGAGGTTCAAGATGACGAATGGGGATACATTACAGTTGTCTTGTTTTAGTGAAATAACAATTACTTTAGCATTTACTGGGTACCTATGTTCATTGACTCATCGTATCTATTCCTTGCATCTTCCTTGTTAACAGAAAGCATACTGAGTCTAAGGCAGCAAAGAGTCCATTAAAACAGTCTCTTTTTTAGGGCCATGGGATACAGTTCTGGGCAGTGAGATAGAACAGTATCATCATCCACCCCCTGCTAGATTTGTGCAGGGTCTATAGTATCATATTCATGTATATAGCACCATAACGTTCCTAAGAGACAAGAACATTTTGCAGAAGAATAATAATGAAGGGAACTTGTCCAGCAGTTAGCAAACATCCCGTGAAGCAAGAGTAATTCCAAGAGTGAAACAGAAGTGTGGGGATTGATAAATAGAAGCTGTACAGTTTAAGGGGAGGCAGGAAGGAGTGGCCAGGCAGACTTTGTGGGAGGGATCACAAAAACAACCCCTCGCCCGCCTTGCTATCACAGTCCGGGGCACGTTTCCTGGAGGCCTGGATCCCCTCTCACCTTCAGAGATTCAATCGTGGCCTGCTTGTAAATCTTTCCTCCAGGATCTTTCTTCTGAGGGCTATTCTGGATTCTAGGTGTTCGAACGACGAACTTATCCATTGTTAGGGGACTCCAACTACCTTCACAGGCTTGCCGTGTGTTCTGGCCAAGAAAGAGGACAGATTCTAAAACTTCACAAAGACGCTGTGAGGGTTGTTCCTTCCTAAATTACGGGGACTCCTGGATGGAATTTACAGGAAGATTTCGTCTTGAAAAAGAAAGATCTTCCTAAGAACTGAAACTATACACAATGATCGGTCTACTCCCTGAGTTGGGAAGTTCCTAGCTTCCAGAGGTGCACGCCATGGAGGGGAATCCCATATCGGGCCAGGCGCTGAACCTAGAGGCTTCTAAGCCCTCTTCCAATTTAGGGTGAGGATTACACTGGTCTCCATGCAGCCCCCTTAACAACTACCTCCCTATAGCCACAACCCCAAGGGTTGTCCCAGTAATCAGCAACCAAGAACCACCTCCAGACCTCAGCAGGGGTTCTTTACAGTAAACAGCCATCTCCAGAAACAACTGCCCGGTGGATCGAGGACCCTAACCGCGACCTTCACGCTCTGGATCCCCAGCAGGGAGAACCACCACCCCCAACACTCAGGAGCCGGGGAAGGGGAACCCAACAACAGCCTGACAGGAGACCCACCAGGAAAAGCAGCCTCGGCAGCAGCTGGCACCCCCCGAGTGCAACCTCGAAGGCTTCCCCCAGCTAATCGCGGGCTTCAAAACCACACAGACACTTCTTCCCAGGGCGGTCGTGCCCCAGATGGGCATCCGGCCACCGCGCGCGCCTCTGAGCCACCGTGAACCACATTCCCCAGAATGCACCGCGAGGAGCGCCGGCGGAAGGCGCGCCCGGGGCGGCAGTAGTTTTTCGAGCCCAACTTTCCCGACAGTTCTGTGCGCCTCCCGCCCACAGAGAACTACATGCCCCAACCTGCCTTGCGAGAGGAAGCGGCTGGGACACCCGGGAGGCCAACGCTCGCGAAGATTGGCTCCACCTCCACGCCCGCCTCGACGTTCGTAGTCCCAGAGACAAGGCAGGCGGCGGCAGTTTTGGGCGGGTCAGGGCGGAGCTGAAGCGACGGCGCAGGCGGAAGCGGCGGTCGGTGGGGCGGGGAAGGGGGCTGGCCCCAGAAGGAGGAGGAAACCCTGAAAAGAAAACAGCAACAAGCGGAGCCGCTGTGACAGAAGGGAACAAAATGGCGGCGCCGAAGGGGAACCTCTGGGTCAGGGCCCAACGGGGGCTCCCGCCGCTGCTGCTGCTGACCATGGCCCTGGCCGGAGGTTCGGGGACCGCTTCGGCGGAAGCGTTTGACTCGGTCTTGGGTGACACAGCGTCTTGCCACCGGGCCTGTCAGTTGACCTACCCCTTGCACACCTACCCCAAGGTAGGGCCCGCCCGCAGCGGGCTGCGACCCTTCCGCGGCAGTCCGGGTCTCGGCTCCCCGCGCCTAGGTCGGCTGGGGGATCCTGGCCCGCCTGGGAGCCCGCTCCCTTCCCTAATCCCTTCTGCACCCCCTTCCTGCTGTAGTGACCGGAAGTTCGGACGGCACTACCCTGCGATAGGTTGGGGGACACACGGTGAAAAAGACAGCGGTCCCTTACCTCTGGGACCCTGCCGGGCCGCAGGGAGTCGAGGATGCGGACGCAGGAGGCGGGGTCCTCACCTCTAAGGGGCGTGAGGGGGTGGGGAGGGAGGCGCAGACACGCGAGCCCGCCCGACCAGTTCATCATCTTGTTGACGACCGAGCGCTTCGCCGGGCCCGGAGTCAGCCAAGCGGGCGATTCCCTGTAGCGTGGAAAGTGTGGAGAAGTCGGCTCGAGGGGCTGGACGCGCAGGAAGGGCTTTCCGTCTGGGTCCAGTGAGTGTGTGCACGCACTGCCAGGGGGCCTGGGTCCGAGAAGAAGCAGTTCGGTTTCTGCCTTACTTACGACAGCGCAGAAGACCTAGGGAATTGGCGGAGTGGGTCAAGAAATGAGACTGCCCACGGTGGGGGGAGGAGGTGTCACAGCTTAAGGAGGGGGTGACCCTACTCTCACTTCTTAACACACAGACACCCGCGGCTGCTGCCTTTTTTTTTTTTTTTTTTAAATTCCGTATCCCTTCTCGAGTTGTGTTTTTTCCGGCTGAGAACGCTGTTTATTCAATATTTCTAAATTGCATGGTGTGACCCGCCCCCCACGCGCACACACCTTCCCCACGAGCAATTGGAGCTTATGCCTTCCCACACTTGATTTACAAAAGGTTTTGTTGATGCTGCCGGCTTTTTCCTCCCTCTTTTCCTCCATCTCCTGTGTGCTATTTGCTTACCGTTGTGGCTTTGCTCTCTGAAACTGCAAAGTGACCACGGAGGCCGTTCCGGTGAAGTTCCGTGTGTTCCATATTGGCGAGTGCTTTCAGGTCTTTAAAATGAAAAGTTCTTGCTGTCGCTTGCCGTGTTTTGTTACTGCTGGATTTTATATTGCATGGTTAGCAGTTTTCGAAAAAAGTGTGAGGGGATTATATTAAATTTTCAGAGTCGGGGATTTCTATAGCAATCAGGAGAGAAATGTGAGTTCTCACATTCAGACTTAAACCAGTGAATACTGCCTCATCTACATTATTTTTCTTCACTTCTTATAAACGTCTCATCATTGAGTGGATTGGATGAGGAAACTTATTAATATTGATTTGGCCTGGAATTGAGCTGACACATTTTGAATTGTTCTAGTGTCTGTTTCCTTTTTTGAGATTTTCCTATCAAACTCATAGTATATAAACCAAAATGTTGGGAGAATAATTAAATGATTTGAAAGGATATACATTCCTGGAACCTTTCGGGACTTTTATAATATCCACTATTTTCTAACAATTAGTATAAATCATTTTTACTTATATATTAAAGCTGTTCTCACCAGGAACTCTAAATCATCTGGCTTCCTATATGTCCTGGATTTAAAATTTATTGACTCATTCTCTACTATGTTAGCCAATGTGGTAGGGGATTTATCATACCATTATCTCTAATTCTCACAACAACCCTGCAAAGTAGGGTTTTACAACTGAGATTGAGGCTCTGAGATTAAATGACTTGCATAAGGTCACGGGGCCAAGAAGTAGTGGAGTAGAAATTCAGTTCTAAAACTGGCTACTCTGTACCGCCTCCTGTTAATAAAGTTGCTTTAAACATATTTAATTATTTTACTGATTCTGTTGGCTCTCTTCTGAGTTATTGTGCTTTGCGCTTCAGGAAAATCAGTGTATGTTATAAGAAATTAGATGTGGAAGACTGAGGCGGAAGGATCTCCAGCGCCCAGCAGGTTGACCCTGGGGTGGCCGTGAGCATGCCACTGCACTCCAGACTGGGTGACAGAGTAAGACTCCAATTAAAAAATAAATTAGATGAATCTACAAGCTCCCACAGCTTCTTGGTCTGTTATTTTTAGCTAGCAGATAGAAATCTCATTTTAATGAGTCTTTTTCTTTTTTATATATATTTTATTTTAAAGATGTGGGGGTACAATTCAAGATTTGGTATACAAGTGGACATTGTACAGGTAAAGTTTGGGTCTCCCTTTGGTCCCATTTTGTCTGGTTTGAGGTCAGGTACCCTTATTGATGGTGTGTCTCCCACAACTCCCGGCAGTATGCTGCTACTGCCAATCCCTTTTAATGAGTCTTTTTCAAAACTGTTTGCTTCAAGGAAGTAAACACATTTAGCTTAGCCTGTTTGGAAGTAGTTATTTAAAAATTATTATTATATTTATCTTTTATCTGTCTTCAAAAATGCAGTTGCATAATTTTTCTGGGTTCAGATACAGGAGACATAAGTCATGTCAATTAAAGCCAGCCTAGTCATTTTTTAACAAAGTGTGGGCTCTGGAGCTGTACGAACCTGGGTTCCATTCCCAACTCTACTATTGCTCACTGTGTGTCCTTGCTGATCACTTAACTTCTCAAAACTTCATTTGATCACCTGTAATAAAACCCTCACACCTTGCAGAGCTGCTGTGAGGATGAAAGATAAATATGTGTGACACTCTTAGCACAGTGCCTAACACAGTGACAGATAGTTATTTCTTATGTTATAAAATCAGTTTGGTGTGTATAGCATCAGTAGTGCTGAAAAATAAGGAAATGGTTAGCTTGACTTAGCTCAGGATAGGAAAATGTATATGATAACTATAAATAACATTGAGATACCTTCTAATTATTAACTCAGCTGATATTCCATATGGTGGGAGCACCATTTATTTCTGTGTGACCTAAAGCAGAGGAGATATGTTTTACACAATTTGCCAGTCATTTGGGATACACAGAATATTGTATAGAACATGAAATACTTGAAATAAGGATATATTTGTTTTGAGTCAGAATCTCACTTTATCACCTATGCTGGAGTGCAGAGGCACATTCACGGCTCACTGCAGCCCTGACCTCTTGGGCTCAGGTGATCTTCCCACCCCAGCCTCCTGAGTAGCTGGGGCAACAGGTGTGCGCTACCACAGCTGGCTGATTTTTTGATTATTTGTAGAGATGAGGTCTTGCTATGTTGCTTAGGCTGATCTTGAACCCTTGGGCTCAAACAAGACTCCCACCTTGGCCTCCCAAGGTGCTGGAATTATAGGTATGAACCTCTGCAACCGGCTTGGATATGATTCTTTATTTTTTTGAGTGAGAATCTCACTCTGTTGGCCAGGCTGTAGGGCAGTGGCATGCTCATGGCCACCGCAGCCTCGACCTGCTGGGCTCAGGCAATCCTTCTGCCTCAGCCTTCCAAATAGCTGGAACTACAGGCATGCGCCACCGTGCCCAACTAACTTTATAATTATTATAGAGACGAGGTCTTGCCATGTTGTTCAGGCTGGTCTCAAATCCCTGAGCTCAGGCAGTCCTGCCTCCCCTCTCAAAGTGCTGGAATTACATGCGTGAGCCACTGCGACCGGTGGATATGATTCTTTTTTTTTTTTTTGAGTTGGAGTCTCACTCTGTTGCCCAGGCTGGAGTGCAGTGGCCACTCCCGGCCACCGCATCCTCGCCTGCTGGGCTCCGGCGATCCTTCCGCCTCAGTTTTCCGAGTAGCCGGAATTACAGGCATGAGCTACCATGCCTGGCTGATTTTTTGATTTATTGTAGAGATGAGGTCTCGCTGCCCAGGCGGGTCTTGAACCCGCAGGCTCAGGCAATCCACTCACCTCAGCCTCCCAAAGGCGCGGGATTACAAGCTGAGCCACCGAGCCTGGCTGGATATGATTCTTAATAGCTACCAACTGAGTGTCTATTCTGTGCCAGGTGTTCTATAATATGTTAACTGCTAACACAGTGCCTAGCACATTGTGGATGCTCATGAAATATGCTTATGCTATATCTGTTTATTAGATAGTACAACATAATGGTAATGCTATTGTGGATATAAAATATATAATCCTCCTGAGAGTTAAGTTTGACATAAGAGTATTGTCTTCCTTTTACAACTAAGGGATCAAGTAACTTACCCAAGGTTGTACAGAATAGTGAGGCTGAGCTTCAAACCAGGGCCAGTTCTTGAATCTGGGCTCTTTATACCATGCCATACCGTTTTCGGAAGTTGGTACTGGGTGGCTTATTAGATTTTCTTTTTAACAAAAGAAAGCATATCTGAAAGAGAAATGTCATGTGGTATATATTATAGCTCATGCTAATGAGCATATTGCTTCCTCTGCAATGTAAGGAAACATGTGGTACCCCCAAAACATACAAGAGTTATTTGACTGTTTTACAAAACCTGCAAAAGCTACTCAGGTATGAAATTTATCTTACTTGTTAAAATTCTTCTAATTTTATCTTAGCAATAAATACAACTAGAATTAAGATCCAAAAACGTGCTACCTTCAAAGTTATATATATAATAAATTATTTAATACAAGACTGCAGCCATCTCTTCTTAATGGATTATTGCTGCTGCATAAATTTTACTAATCTTTCTACTGGAAAGAAATGCATACTTTTGTATTCCATTGGTTACTAACTGGTATATGCACATGCTGTTTCCTTATTAGGAGCCTGCCAGTTTGTACACAGTGAATCACACAGTAAGTTGAGGGGGCTTCCCCATATATACTAGTTTGTTTCAAATACTGTTTGTGCTTTATTAAAGAAAAACATTAACCAATGTTGAAGACATTGTTATTAGTCGTATTAAGCAATTAACATTTTTTAGTAATGAGGAACCATATGTCCATCCTATCTAGAGCTTCCACACATATACAGTTATGCCTGTAAATGTTTTCTGTTTTTAAAATCTATTATTATGATTAACACTACTACTGTTTATTAAGCATCTTTTATGTCCCAGGCACTGTGCTAGGAATAGCTATCTATGATAAGAAAACAGATTTAGGTGAAGTAACTTGTGCACTCGTTCACCTAAAAGGTTTGGTCTAGGTCTGGCTGACTACAGCGTCCTTTTCCATGCATCACACTGTTGTTCTTGTTTGTGTTTTCAGTCAAAGTCAGCTGAATCTTAAAAGTCCTTTCATATAAGCATGTTTATACAGGTATGCCTTACTTTGTCGGGGCCTTTGTGTTACCAGTCACCATGTGATACTTTTCTTGATAAGCCTGGTAATTTATAAAGACATGGATGTGGCAGAAGTATGCCACTGGTCCTAGGGTACTTGCTTAGTCCTTTCTACCTATGTTAAAGTTCTGATTATGTCACTGTTGTTTTTATTTTCAGTTTTTTTCCACAAATTATAACAAAAAAATATGGAAAATGGGTGGTGGTTTTAGCCACTAGGCTTTTGTCTTGGTATCACCTTTAAAATGAAGAACTTTGCCAGGCGCGGTGACTCAAGCCTGTAACCCCAGCACCTCGGGGGGGCTGAGGCGAGAGGACTGCCTGAGTCCACAGGTTTGAGACCAGCTAGGGCAACATGGTGAGACCTCATCTCTACAATAAATCAAAAAATTAGCCGGGCGAGGTAGCATGCGCCTGTAGTTCCAGCGAAAGGATCACCAGAGCCCAGCAGGTCAATGCTGGAGTGACCAGGCGCGTGCCAGCGCACTACAGCTGGGCGATGGAGTGAGATTCCAACTCTAAAAAATAAAAAATTAAAATAAAACAAGGAACTAAAACCTCTTTATATGGTGAGATCTTGGGTGTCACCTGGCGCCTATCATTTGTTTTCTTTCAGTTATAAAACTTACTGAATGGTTTATAATAAACTCTACTAACTTTGCTTTCTTGTTGACCTATTTTCCTCTGAGAGAAAAATACCAGTTTTTGGTAATCCTCCCTATTCTTGAACTCCCTAGGAAGAGGAGTTATACGCATGTCAGAGAGGTTGCAGGCTGTTTTCAATTTGTCAGTTTGTGGATGATGGAGTTGATTTAAATCGGACCAAATTGGAATGTGAATCTGGTAAGATGCTATGCGAATGACATCAGCTGTATATGACATTGGTGTTTTATTTGAGTTATGTTATTCTTTTTAAGTATTTTCCTTTGAAAATGGCAAGCATACTAGTCGTCCAACATATTGTGACTATTATAAATTTAGAGTTTAGTAGCTGCTGCAAGAAATTTCATGGGTTTTAAATTTCATCTATTTGTTGAGACAATGTTTGTTTTGTACTGAGGATAGGACACCTTTGTTTCACAGGGATTCAGTTTAGACAAATGCAGTAGTAATTACCCTATTCATTCATCACTACATTTTCACAGATAGTATAAAATTTTCCTGAACTTTTCAATCATAGACTAGTTGATCTAGCTCCAAGTTTTTTATTGAATCAGACCTTTGATCCAGTATTTAATAGCGTATTCTTTGTTGGTCATGCCATTAAAAGAATAACTAGAGGGTTTGTCATCTGTTAAACCACTATTCTTCCCTTTGAGATGTGTTTAATAAACACAAGCAGAACACAGTTGACATTTAACTTTTTAAAGAACTATGATGGAATTTTTTCCATTCATTAAACTTTATTCAGTGTGGAAGGAGGTACCTTTTCTCCTGCTGCTATGCCCTGGCTCACATTCAGTCTTTTGTGATATCCTAACCTTATTTTTAATGGCTCAGTTTTCTAGCTGGTCATCTTTACGTGGGTATAAGCTGTCCAATTTATTATCTAGCACCTTTAGAAGTGTATTACAAATGCATAATTGAGTTAGGAAGAAAAATAAAATTCTTACAGTGGTGAAGTTTTGTATCACAAAAAAGAAATAGCTTTAATAAACTAAGTGAAGAGAGTGTATCTGGTAGAGACCCATTTCAACTTTAGAAGCACCTGCTGCAGAACATCTTTTAGTCCAGTTTCCTTAGACTCTAGGATGTTAGACTGATGGCTTGTTTTATTTTCCCCTTGGTGTGTGATTACCCTTGCTTCTCAACTAAGTGATTCAGTTCTTAACAGCAATATTTTGTATTTGTCAGTCAGTAGAATATAACCCCAGCAGTAGGTGGTGATGTTTCCATTATGTCAATAGTCAGAGCTTAAACAACTCGACCTGAGCTATATATACGGCTGACAAGTGATGGAGTCAGAATGTTCAGTGGCACCTTCAGGGTGCAGTCCACTGCTGTTTTGGCTATACTTGCCTTAGCTTTAAGGGTCCCTTATGTGAATGTCATTATGTAGCCAGAGCCTGGGTTTGTAGATTTATACCTGAAACGTTTGACTTGTGGGAAGGAGTCCATGTGGAGTGCTATTAAAATCATGCGTTTTCTACTACTGTATTACCAAATTTGGAAATCCACATTGATGAAATGCTTTATAAGTATAGGAAATTTCCTTACAAAAAGCCAAATTCCTTTTTTCCTATCCTTCTCCTCTCTCTTGCATTCTCTTTTTTTTCTTTTTGGTAATGTGACTGTTTTTCTCTTACAGCGTGTACAGAAGCATATTCCCAATCTGATGAGCAATATGCTTGCCATCTTGGTTGCCAGAATCAGCTCCCATTTGCTGAATTGAGACAGGAACAAGTATGAAACAATACTGCCTTTCAAAATTGTCTGCTTAGACCATGCTGATTTGTATTGCTTAAAGTGTTTATCACCTACTTGATTCTGTTTTAGTGTGATATTTGATATTTAGCTTTCAGCACACAAAATTATGTTTGCAAATAGAAGTCAATTGAATAATTACTTTTGTGTAATGCTTAACTTTTAAAAATTATGTTTACTTCCCATAATCTCATTTCGTTTCTTCTCACGGTCCAATGACAATATTATCCCCATTTTACGTATGAAAAAACTGAGGCTCAGAGACATTGTTATTTCAGTCCTTTTTTTCTCCATGCCAGTTTCATTGCCTTGACTCAGAATTCCATATCTTTTCTGTATTACTAAATTAACATTCAAACTTTTTTCCACTTTAATCCTCTCTAGTCCATCCTTTACCCTGCATCCAGATTTTTTTTTCTAAATGGAAATCTCCATGGGCAGCATAGAGAAGTCTCGACTCTACAAAAAAACCAAAAAAATTTAACTGAGCATGGTGGCACACATCTGTATTCCCAGGTAATAGGGAGGCTGAGGAGGAAAGATTGCCTGAGTCCAAAAGGTCGAGGCTGCAGTGAGCCATGATCATGCCATTGCACTCCATCCTGCACAACAGAGTGAGACCCTGACTCAAAAAAAAAAATCCTCTACAAGAGAATTTTCATACTTTATACTCCAAACATGCTGGGAAAAGTTTCTTAACTTCATTAATTTTGTACAGGAAATAGTCACAAAACTCAAAAGATAGAGTGTGCACTTAGTGAAAAGTCCCCTACCCCTGTGTCTCATAGCCATTCAATTTTTCTTCATTAATGTAACCAGGATTACCAATACAGAGGTAGTTTATGCATATACAAAGGCATTATATTTTTGGTAAATACAAGTATACATAAGGAGCTTTTACTCATTTTCTTCACTGCATAGTATTTTATATGGATGTATTATAATTTATTTAGACAGTCCCTTAATTGTGAATATGTAGGTTGTTTCTAATCTTTTCCTCTTTATAAATGCTGTTGTATGTTTTGCACATTTGTAAGTATACCTACAGAATAAAATCATAGGGATAGAATTGCTGAGTTAAGAGATACATGCTGTATTTTATTTTATTTAGAGATGGGGGTCTTTGCTGTGTTACCTATGCTGACCTCAAGCTCCTGGGCTCAACTGATCCTCCTGCCTCCCCTGTTATGTAGGCTGGGAATTATGGCACGTGCCACCATAAGACGATATATGCATTTTTAATTTTGAGAGATAGAACAAAATTGCCCTACATGGAATTTGTACCAAGTTTTAAAAATTGAAGTATAATATACAAACTATAAAAGTACTCCAGTTCGCCGGGCTCGGTGGCTCAGCCTGTAATCCCGCGCCTTTGGGTGAGTGGATTGCCTGAGCCCGCAGGTTCAAGACCTGCCTGGGCAGCGAGACCTCATCTCTACAATAAATCAAAAAATCAGCCGGGCGTGGTAGCGCATGCCTGTAATTCCAGCTACTTGAAAGGCTGAGGCGGAAGGATCGCAGGAGCCCAACAGGTCGAGGCTGTGGTGGCCGGGAGCGGCCACTGCACTCCAGTCTGGCTGACAGAGTGAGACTCCAACTCAAAAAAAAAAAGTACTCCAGTTCAGTGATTTTTAGTATATTCACTAAGTTGTGCAACCAACATCACTATCTAATTGCAGAATATTTTCATCACCCCAAAAAGAAATCTCATACCCATTAGCAATCCTTTCTTCCTCCCCAAAGTTCTTGGCCAAGTACTACTTTTATTATGGTTTTAATTTTTGTTCATCTTAAGTAACGTTAAACATGTTTTCAAATGGTTAAGAGCCATTATACATTTCAAATGTTTAATTTCCTTTTCTCTTAATTGTATACATACTGAATAGTTCTTAATTTTTATAGTATGACATGCTATTTTAGTGCCTTTTTTCATTCTACTCTCCATCCGCCTAGTGAATGCTTGACTCCAGGCAGTTGTCATTCCCTTTGTTAACTCTTTAACCACCACTAGTCCCAGTTTGGGTTAGGTGTCTCTCCTTGTATGTATATATATCATCCTGTGTTTAACTTCAAATATTCATTGATTATTAAAACACACATGGGCTCTAATTGCTTTAAATTTATAATCTCAATAAATGCTCGTTCAGTGACTTAATCAATGAAAGTTTTCACAGCTATTAAGTGGGAAAATTTAATCCTGAATGCAGATCAGAATAAAGATTCTAAAAAGTATATGTTCTCTTTCTCCCCCTTCCCCTCCTCCCATCCCTCTCTTTTCCCCACCTTCTTTCTCCCCCTTCCCTCTCTCTCTCCCCTTCCCTCTCTCCCTCCCTCTTTCCTCCCTCCTTCTTGCCTCCCTCTCTCTCTCATACCCCCTTGGTGCTTGTCTTTTGAAATACAGCAGAACCAAAGCTATCCCTAGAATTTAGCAAATGGTATCCCTCACTTGTACCCTGGAGGGGCCCAGTACTGCCCAATAAGTCAAGAAGTTAGAATTGGAGAGGAGGTGATACCAATTGCTGTTAAAATCTTATGAGTAGCTTACTACATATATTCAGCCCATAAGTTCTCTCCTCTTTTGGTGCTGTTATCAGATGTCTACCATTTTAAGCATATATTCTTTTGATTGATTTTTTTCCTTCCTCTTTTCCATTGATGTTCATTATAGCATGCTTTATTTTCTATGAACACATTAAAGAGGAGAATGGTATGATCCCTGTTCTATCCCCTTGAGGCCTTGTTAGTCCTTATTTAATAAAATCTTGAGAGTCTCCATATATTTGGACCTGATTCAAAAGTCTATTATTCTGATATAGGTGACATGTAGCTTATAAGTATGTTTGGTGGCAAGTTAAAGTGGCCTGAGTTTTTAAGCTTTTCTGTAGTTACTTTGCATGGATAACTAAAAGTTTACTCTAATGCTAATAATTATGGTAGATTTATTTAATTGTTTATACCCTGTCCCAATAAGGATTTGAGGAATCTCAATGATGTTGTTCTCTTAAAGATAAATATGTAAAAATAATATATTTCTCATGATTTATTTTATTTTTAGCTTATGTCCCTGATGCCAAAAATGCATCTACTTTTCCCGTTAACTCTGGTGAGGTCATTCTGGAGTGACATGATGGACTCTGCACAGAGCTTTATAACCTCTTCATGGACTTTTTATCTTCAAGCTGATGATGGAAAAATAGTTATATTCCAGGTAACAACTGTGCTTCATAGATTCATCTCAATACCAACAACAGTAAATGTGTATAACTTAAATGAGTGTTTTGACTTAGAACCACATACTCAGTCACTTACAAATATTTATCTTCAAATAATACTATTTGACCTAAATGAAAACACTGGACATCAGGATACATTTTGATTAACCTTCCCTCTGCCCATTAGAAGCCTTATCTAAAGTCCGTTGATTCTTAAATAACCAGAACTCTGAGCCTTCAATTTTATGATAGCTGGGTGCAGTGGCTCAAGCCTGTAATCCCAGTACTTTGGGAGGCCAAGTGAGAGGATTACCTGAACTCAGGGGTTTAAGACCAGCCTGGACAACTTGATGAGACCTCATCTCTACAATAAATCAAAAAATAAGCCGGGTATGGTAGCTGGTGCCTATAGTTTCAGCTACTTGGAAGGCTGAGGCAGAAGAATTGCCTGAGCCCAGCAGGTCGAGGCTGTGGTGGCTGTGAGTGTGCCACCACACTCCAGCCTGGGTGACAGAGTAAGACTCCAACTCAATAAAGAAAAAATTATGGTAGTTCAGTGGATAAATCTTTAGATATGAGAGATAATAATACACTGGAATATAAATAGTGGCATATATATGATTGCATATGGATATTAGATAAAAGTGATATGACATAATTTTTAGTTGTTTATAGTGCTTTTCCTCATGCTTATAAGAGAACTTGTCAAAGAAATATTTTGCCCAGGGAAGTAATTTCTTCTATCTTTTCATTTACTGTGTTATAACAATAACTGTTATTCCTTGAAGGTTCTGTTGTACTAATACACTATTATGAAGGAATACACTATTGATGAGGAAGCTGAGAGTCTAACTTGTTTAAGGTTGCACTGCCAGTAAGTAACAAATTAGGCTTCAGACCCAGGGCACTTTAGCACAAAGACCCATATACTACCCTACTATGCTGTCTTCTTTTTAATTTGTAGCTGAATTCCTCAAACTTACCAGCCAACAAATTCCTCTCAGGTAATCATTAAAGTAAGCCTTTTAATTATTCCAGCCAATTAAGTGGCATACTGTATGGCTAGTATGTGGTTTTCAGCACCATCCTGAACCTTAGGTTTCTTCTACTTAATTTGGTGATAAGTAAAACACAGAAATTTTTCCCTCTTTAAATTAATGAACAAATTTATGTCCTAAAGCTACTTACATCAAAACTTAAGTTAATTCTCAGAGTGGAGTTCTCATTCATTCCTGATTAGATGTGAGATTAGCCCTATTTTTCTTTAAAGTTTTTATGAACTTGAATGTAGAACCCCCATTCCAGAGGATCAGAGCTATATAGAAAATATAAAATATAGAGTATTTGGCTGTAATTTATGAATTGTTCATACTTAGGGAAGAATAAAATGTTTCAGGTGAGAAAAAAATAGAAATATGTGATTAGCTAAAAGTTTTGGCAGTTGGCTGGGCGTGGTGGCTCAAGCCTGTAATCCCAGCACTTTGGGAGGCCGAGGAGAGAGGACTGCCTAAGCTCAGGGGTTCAAGACCAGCCTGGGCAACTTGGTGAGATCTTGTTTCTACAAAATATCAAAAAATTAACCGGGCGTGGTAGCGCACACCTGTAGTTCCGGCTACTTGGAAGACTGAGGTGGAAGAATTGCTGGAGCCTAGCAGTTTGACACTGGGGTGGCCCAGAGCATGCCACTGCACTTCAACCTGAGTGACAGTGAGACTCTAACTCAAAAAAAAAAAAAAAAGGTTTTGACTATCTGCTAAATTATTCCTGATCAATTAGAATTAGAATTCAATTTTTGCAAGGTATGGTATTTAATATAGTATATCATAATTTGCCCCCTACTTTTTTTTTTTTAATGTTCTCAGAAAGTTAAATTGACTAAATAGTTGATGATGCCAGAAATCTGTTTCTTTGCAAGGCACTGGATCTGATGTTTAGGAAGTGCAATTAAAATATATTGTGGCTAATGTGTTTTATTTTTTATACTGTACTTCTGTTACTTTTTCTCAATTTAAATGTTTATAAAGATTGTGTGTTACAGAACTTGTAACTGAAAAAAGCTAAGAAGTACAAATGACTTAATTGCTTTCATTATCATTTTAGTCTAAGCCAGAAATTCAGTATGCACCACATTTGGAGCAGGAGCCTGCAAATTTGAGAGAATCATCTCTAAGCAAAATGTCCTGTAAGTTTTATTTTTAGAAGCTTGGATAAAAACACTAGCAGTCAAATCTGGTTGTAGTAGAGTTGGTTGTGTGGATGGAAGGTGAACAGATAATTTCTAAAAGAATGGTTCTCAAACTTCAACATGCATTGAAATTTGGAGAGCTTGATAAAACACAGATTGCTGGACTCCACCTCAGAGTTTTTAATTTACTGGGTCTGGAGGAGCATCTGAGAATTTGTATTTCTAACAAGTCCCACATTTTGCTGATGCTGCTGGCCTGGGGTTCACACTTCAAGAACCACTATTGTAAAAACATTTAATTTGCTTCAAAGAATGTTATGTGTGAAGCAATCAAATATTCTGGTATTTCCCAATAAATTAACCAAATAGAGAAGCTACCTCAAAAGTATGAGTCCCTATTCTATTTTTATTTTTGTGCTAGAAGTGAATTTTGACTCATAGGAACATAAAACATCAAACAGAACTTACCTTTTAAATTCTACTAGCTCATACCTTATTTTAGATACTGATTTAGTTAGCTTCTTGGTGAGTGGGAGTGGGTGGATAATGGTAGCACATAAGACCATCTTTAACTTCAATTAGATTAGAATAAACCAAATTCAAGCTCACATGTAATTAGATAGAAAACATCCATGTCAGTAAGAATTTAAAAATGAAACAGGAAACCCATAATGTAGTAGAATATTCATTTGATTTTGTTGTGCCAGAGGAACTGACACGTATTATAAAATGCATCAGATTACACTTATAAAAAATTGGATATCTGTAGAGTGTGTACATCTAAAAGTAGTCATGTGAGAGTAGCTTTTGGGATACTGGATATGATAAACTTGACTTTGTTATTTCAGCAGATCTGCAAATGAGAAGTTCACAAGCACATAGGAGCTATCTTGAAGATGGAGAAAGCGATGGCTTTTTAAGATGCCTCTCTCTGTATGTATTCCTCTTGAAGAGTCTAGCTTGTAGCAGAGAGATACATTACTTTTTATTACTTTAAAATTATATTAGCCACTCAAAAAGAAAAATATCTTTCTACCTTTTTCCTTTTAAACTTGTACTTTTGGATATTTTATTTTGTTTAAAAGGTCATGTGCATACTATTAAATACTTTAATAAAACCCAAGCAGGTAGGGCTTTTTTTTTTTTTTTACAGTACAAAAACGTCTTCTTGTTAGAATTTCTTGATTTTTAAGTTTAATTTAATTTAATTAATTAATTTTTTTTTTTTTGAGTTGGAGTCTTACTCCGTTGCCCAGGCTGGAGTGCAGTGGCATGCTCATGGCCACTCCAGCATCGACCAACTGGGCTCCCGCAATCCTTCCACTTCAGCTTTCCAAGTAGCTGGAAGTACAGGCGTGTGCTACCACACCTGGCTATCTTGATTTATTTGCAAAAGAAATGTGCTTCTCCAAATGTTTAAATTAAGCTTTAATTCTAAGTATGTCTGAATGGCTTGGGGTTGGATTTTTGTGTTTATCTACATGGCCAGAGATGAGGCTAGAGGAGCTAGGTAAGAACTGTAGATTAAGAAGGGCTTTGTATTCTTTCCTAAGTAGTGTCGGTTCTGTGCTGGGAATTATTAAAGGTAATGGGAAAGTGGGCAGGCACTTCTGCTCTCCTAGGAAGGAATATTAAGCCTTCTGAGGGTGAGAGGGGAGTTTTATCAAAGTATGCTTGCTTCCTCTCCTCCAAGGAGTTCTGATATGAGCTCTCCCCCACACTTTCACTCTCACTCCTCAAAAAGGAAAAAGAAAGATAGTGGGCCATGTCACTTCTTGCTTATTATCTACTCTGCATCCGATATCAGGCCAAGCGTTTCAGTACAGTGCTAGACAATCCTTGCTTCACAATGTGTACTCTCTGGTGGACTAGTCTGTCTCAAGTGTAACACTGTAGTGGTCCAAACTGCGTGCTTTCAATAACTTAAAGACTGTGTGAGAAAATGAGGATTTAACTTTAAATTTTATTTTTCTTTCATTTCTAAACTTACTTTTGACCTTGTGCAAAAAAAGGGACAGCTTTTCTCTCTCTAGTATTTAAGTCTACATTCTACTCATCCCATTCTGCTGTAGCTGTCTACTTCCAAAGTGTCATGATTTTTCCGTGATTACATACAAGATCACCCAGCCAGTAAGAGGAATCTAGTCCTATGACTTAACTGCAGTGTTGCTTTTTATTGTACCCTGTATCTCTTATAGAGACACATCCTTATCTCCAAAATGGAAATAAAAGTCACACTTATTTTTTCACTTGTCATTTCTTTTTGGAGAGTCTGTTATGTGCCAGGCACTGTACTGAGGACTTGAGATGTAGAAAAGATGTTTGGTCTCTGCCTCTGAGTTCCCAGGTCTAGGTAGACATGAAAATAGTGAACATCACAATAATGATTGCCACACACAGACACACCCCCCACACACATACCACATACCCCCTATACATATCTCATATACAGAATAGCAGGAGTTTCCCTAAGTCTACTAGAGATTTCAAGGGGATGATTTATATAGGAGAAAGAAATGTCTTAAATGAAGAGTAAAGATGTTTGCTAGTTGTAGCAGAAGGTTTGTTTAAAAATGTTTTCAGATACACTGACTTCTTGCAGAATGTATAAGGTATATTACTATGTATGGAGGGTAAGGAGAGTCAGAAATTTGTCCAAACCAAGTAAACTGGAACCAGAGAGGAGCAGGAAAATAATCAAATGTGGGTGTCAAGAAGAGAGCACTATGTGAAGGATAGATTAGAGGACCAGGCTAGATAGAATTTTGGTAAATCTGAAGAAATTCTAAGGCCTGAATTGGGGCAGTGAATAAGGAGAACAGGAAATAATGGAGACAGTGGAGAATCTGTAGGATCTAGTAATTGTTTTGTTGTGGAGGTTAAAGAAGATAAACTCTGAGATGAGCCCCAGTTTCCTAGCTTAACGAGTTGCTACTGACTCCAGATGTCAAATATATCCTTTTCATTTCATGGAAATAAATTCCCTAGTACTCAGGGTTGGGACTTGTAGAGGAAATTCGGTATTTGGTCCTTAAAAATACTTTGTATTCTATTACCTTTCTAAATTGAAATACTTAAAGCATCATATGGGAGTTCTTTGCTTTTAGATGGGATGTGTTCTCCAAAGTCCACTTGTTCTGTGAGGGGACAGTGACTGTGCTTACCTTTTTCTTAACTTGTTCAGGTGCTGGCAAACTTACAAGTGACTAGGTTATGGTGATAGGGGTAGATCTTTTATTAGGTAGTGTTAAATGAGCAGAGATGTGAAAATTAGGGACTACCTGTATGGCACAGTTTTTCAGAGTTAGTCTTTAAAATATTTTTTAAATGGCTTAACTTTTTTCCTGTTTTTTGAATCTTCATAGGTCAATTATGAAAAAACTCCAGTTGCTAATTCTCATAACCTTCTATCTGAAGATATTTTAATAAGGAAAATACAACTATCTCTTTACTAAGATAAGCTGTAATGGTATAGAATACCTCATAATAGATATGCTCTTTTAAGGGCAACCCCCTTTGGTCCCCTCTCACTGTGGGAGCTTTTCTGTCCTCTCAGTAGATCCTGCTTTCTCAAAAAAAAAAAAAAAAAATTGAAGTGTAAGTAAGTTATGGCAAATTAAATATTTGAAATGTTCTAAGGAAGCTGACTTTTGGAAGCCTGTTGTGAATTCTTTGTTATTTATAAAACAAATGATCACTTTATAATTTACCTATTCTATACTTTAACTTTTTGGGATAATTGCATTTTCTTTAAGTATCATAATACCTTGCAAAATAATTTGTGACATTTGTATAACATTGTACAATTTATAGGATACTTTCAATTGCCTTATATATTTAACAGAAAGTCAGTATGTCTGATTTTATTATTACTATAAAAGTGATATAGCCATATTATAGAAACTTTAGAAATGGAGGAAAAGACGTAGTATAACAGTTATATTTTCTTCTATAAGTATTTTTAAATAGTTGTAGAGATAGTATACAGGTTTTTAGTTGTACTATTGAGCTAAGTACATTTGATTGGTTGTCTTTAATTATTAAGAATCTCCTATTTCTTATGTTATGAAATTTTAATATGACTAATTATTGATTTTTTTTTCCAGTAACTCTGGGTGGATTTTAACTACAACTCTTGTCCTCTCAGTGATGGTGTTGCTCTGGATTTGTTGTGCAACTGTTGCTACAGCTGTAGAACAATATGTTCCCTCTGAGGTAAATTTAATTCTAATCCTTAGGCCATTTCAAGACTGGGCCATATGATATACCATCGTAAATGCCTTATTTGTTTAGAAAAACAATCTTCTCTAATAATAGAATAAGAAGATTCGGTGGTTTTAATGTGGTTGAGGTTGGCACACATGAAAATTACAGGTTTGCAGCTTGAGAATTGTTCCCAGTTTTCTGTGACGCTAACTACCATGGTTACATACATTGACTGGATTGAGTAAAATGTCTCTTCCTGGCTCTCTGAGAATGAGACGAACCTGCTGGCATTAGTTTCTCAGGTAGCATATAGAGAAGACTTGTAGGCCCACTTGTTTTTTAATTAATTGCCACAAATGTTAAGGAGCAATTGCTGCTTTAGAAACAGCAAGGCTGGAATATTTGATTTCAGGTAATTTAACTGGCCCAAGAAACAACTTTTTTTTTTTTTTTTGAGTTGGAGTCTCACTCTGTTGCTCAGGCTGGAATGCAGTGCCACACTCACTGCCACCCCAGTGTTGACCATCTAGACTCAGACAATCCTTCTGCCTCAGCCTTCCAAGTAGCCGGAACTACAGGCGCATACCACCACACCCAGCTAATTTTTTGATTTATTGTAGAGATGAGGTCTCGCCAATTTGCCCAGGCTGGTCTTGAACCCCTGGGCTCAGGCAATCCCCTCACCTCAGCCTCCCAAAGTACTGGGATTACAAGCTTGAGCCACTGCGCCTGGCAGAAACAACTTCTAAGGTAAAGAATTTTTATTTTGGAGAAAGACTATAATTTGATGATTTTACTTAGCTTTCAAGAAAAGAAAATTGTGTATATAACTAAATATAGAACAATAATGGCTGTTTACATCAAGTCTGACTGAAATAAACTTTAGTTTTCTTGTGTCTCCAAAGTGCTGTAGAAAAAAAGAGAAAAGAAGACTGGTAAAGAGAAAAGTTAAAATAGAATCTAATAAGTCAATGGCATGTTCCTAGCATGGTGTCTTATCTTAATAAACTATACAGATAAGTTTTAATATAAGATTTACAAATGAATAACAATTGATCATATTATTTAATATTTTTAATTAGGGTGCTATAATTGATATAGGCACCTAGAAACTGGGACAGGATGATGTTGATATCTAACGTTTATCTATTTTTTTATTTAAAAAGTATTTTTATATATCTTGTATTTCAATTCATATTCTATAGAAAATTTTATTATCCATTTTATAGATGAATAAACAGGCTTACAAAATCTAGGTAACCTTCCCAGGATTGCATAGCTGTGAATGTGTTAGCTGGAATTAAATTTATATCTTTAGATTGATAACTCTTGTGCTTTTTCTATATACCTTCTTGCCTATGGCTGATAAGATGCACAAATAATAATTGTATAAGGTGTTAAGGAAAGCAGAGACTGTGTGCTGGGATTGTCAGATAAGAATTTTAGATAATGCGAGTCTTGACCTGAATTTTAAAGAATGAGTAGTAGGGTGTGAATTAGTAGAGGAAGGTTGGACAGCTTTCCATGGTATAGACAATAGTAAGCTAACTAATAGGAAAGGATTGTTAGGAACTGACCTGATTAAAAGAACTTACTTTAGGAAGTTACGCCCAATGGATAAAGTTGGACTGGATTGTGAAGAGCTTTGAATTATAGAAGTTACAGAGAACAGGTAAATTTTACAAAATTCATCTGTTTATGATGAGAATGTACTGGTAAAATCCTCTTGCTACATTACCTACTTTTGTTCTCTGGTACTCATATTTTAATCATTTTTATTGTTCCTGGTACAGCTAGAATCATGCATCTTACATAGGATTGCCCTTGCCTGGTACTTCCTTTTTAGCTACCTAAACCCTCTAACCACTCATGGCAACAAAGCTATAAACCTACAGAGATAAATCTTTGTTTACCCCCCCCCAGTTGTGACATTTTGTTCCTTTTCTTCTTGTATTCCTATTTCTTCTCCTTACTCCATGTAAATGAAATCTACACATAGATATTGACCCGGCTATTGTCAGAAAAGACCAGATGACTCTTTTCGATGGAATTTGCCATGATAAATTCACCACAGCCTGAATTCTGGTCCCTAAATCTACTGACTAATGTTGAATGTCTTCTGCTGGGCACGGCTCTGTTTTATATGAATTACTTCATTTAATCTTCACAATAACCCTGTGACATGACTGCTGCTATCCCCATTTACCAGATGGGAAAACCACAAGAGAATGTTTATTATTGTCTCCAATGTCACATACCAGTAAGTAATAGAACTAGGATATAATCTCAGTCTGCCTTCAAAGCTGACATTCTTAAATTTCTTTGGTTAGTCTGTAATCATAAATAGGGGGGAGTTGGTTATGTGATTCATTTCAGGAGCTGATATCCTATGTGCCCTCTTTGACCTAAGAAGGTAGATACCACTGGGACCACATGGTTCGTGGTTTTGAGCCAGAATGCTGCAACTCCCTCTTATCTGAGTGGCTCTTGGATGGGCAGTTCTTGGTTTGCCCTTTCTTGTCTCCGTATTGGACTTATGCAGGGGACTCCCTTTCAGTGGTGTCCATGCATAGCAATGCCTGTCATTGTGGTTTTGGTTATATCTTGTAGTTCTGGGGATCTTTCCCTTCCTTTCAAATGACTCTTGATCTTTTTCTTTTAGATGATGTTTCTTTTTTTCTCATATAAATAATTTTGTGAGAAGTTTTCTCCCCTCATTCCAAGTTCTTTGGGGAACATCTCACTGTTCCCACATATGCTTCCCAGATCCTTGTGATTATAAAGCACAAGACATCAACAGCACACTGGGAGCTCTGCTGGCTATTGTTGCCCCCTTCCCCCCACCCACAGCTGCCACATGGGCATGACCTTCTTGCCCTTCTGTAGAGTTCTTTTCTTCCTGTCCTTAACAACTAAAATTATGACTACACCCTTTGAGGGCTATGCTTTTCTAAGGAGATACATTTTCTAGAAAGATGTGTGGAATACAACCATTTGGATGCACTATGTTCAGGCTTTACTTTGTGTGTGAAACCACACTTTGCTAAGTAATCATTTTAAGTATATTTTTATTATAAAAATATTATATACTTAGTGTAGAAATGTATAAAATACACACAAAGAAGCAGAGAAAAAGATCACTTATCCTATCACCTAGAACTATTATTGTGTTGTCCTTTTAGTAGGTTTCTTTTCAGTATATGCAGTTTTTAATATATATTAATATTTTGTTTCTTGTTTTAGAATACTGCATTGTAAATACTTCACCCTTTTCTGGTAGTTTCTCCTTTGTTCACTGTAAAAAATAACTTAGAATTCAACAATAGAAAAGCTATTCAGATTTTCTTAGCCAAAAGTCGTCTATTTAAAAGTAATTTCATAAAACTCTTCTATAACTTTTACTATTAGAATGTAAGTTATTTCTGATGCCTCTCCATGGTAACCTGAGACTCCACTTCAAGTTCTCCAAGTATAGCTTATCTATGACCAGTGTTATTTATATTTTGTTATTAACATGCATGATTTTGTGTGTTTATAGGCAATCATAAGCCTGCTAAAAGAATGTATCTGTTCAGTACAGACTTGGTATCCTTGGAGCTTACACATAGAATATAAAAAGCTTTCTTCCCATTCACTATAAACAAAGCTTAGAATGCTGGTGACAATTGTCAAAAATGTGGTCTTAGAAACTTGTGAACAACTGTTTTCTTATTTAGAAAAGCTCTGAAATAATTTATCTTTTAGCGTGCTTTGGACATAGTAGGTACTCACCATATGTCATTTGATTGTAATGGCCAAATAGAGGTGGCACAGCAGTTCATTTCCTTGGTTGATCTCAAAGCATTCATTTGAGTGATTTGACTTATAAAGGTTTTGATCTTGTTCTTTTCACTTTTTTTCCCTTTCTTTTTTTTTCATTTTTGATGTCATTTTTGAAACTTCATGGATGAAGTTTTCTCTTTTTTTTTTGAGTTGGAGTCTCTCACTCTGTCGCCCAGATTGGAGTGCAGTGGCCGCTTCCGGCCACCGCAGCCTTGACCTGCTGGGCTCCAGCGATCCTTCCGCCTCAGCCTTCCAAGTAGCCGGAATTACAGGAATGCGCTACCACGCCCGGCTGATTTTTTGATTTATTGTAGAGATGAGGTCTCGCTGCCCAGGCGGGTCTCGAACCCCCGGGCTCAGGCAATCCACTCACCTCAGCCTCCCAAAGGCGCGGGATTACAGGCTGAGCCACTGAGCTGGGCTTCGAAGTTTTCTCTTGTTGAGCTATGTGTCTAAGACGATGAAGAGTTGTCATTCGTGGTTCTTGTCAAGTAGGCCAAGCTTAACATAAGAACAGGGTTCAGCAGTATTAGATACTCCTTTCTGGAGACCAAGCAGCCTCAGAAATGTGCTGTAGCAACAGATGATGATGATAGGCGCTGCCTCGATGTTATCTCGTTTTCTGTGTACTTGCCCCTCCCCCCTTTTTTTGTCTTTTCTGGAAGAGCAGTATTATTCTAAGCTATTTGTCAAGGCTGTGATGATCTAATTTTCATATGGTTGGTTAAGAAAGATTTAACTCAGCCTGTAATCCCAGCACTTTGGGAGGCCGAGGTGAGTGGATAGCCTGAGCCCGCGGGTTCAAGACCCACTTGGACAACTTGGTGAGATCTCATCTCTACAATAAATCAAAAATTTAGCCGGGTGTGGTAGCATGCACCTATAGTTTCGGCTACTTGGAAGACTGAGGTGGAAGAATTGCCGGAACCCAGCAGGGCGAGGCTGCAGTGGCTGGGAGCGTGCCACTGTACTCTAGTCTGGGTGACAGAGTGAGACTCCAACAAAAAAAAAAAAGATTTAAGTAGACTCCTAATAATACCATTCAGATTAGTAAGTCACATACGTTTGTGGATTACCTGCCAGGCCGTATTCAAGGAACTGGAGATACAATGAGAAATAAGACCAAGAACATTGCCCTTTGGAAGCTGTAAGTCTCATAGCAAAATTAGACAATCAGAAAACAGTATTTAAGTGCTATAGCTTCTTAATCTAAATTCTACTTAAAAACTGAGTTTTAGAAAAGACTTAAGTAACTTATCCAAGATCACATAACTAGTTAGTGGCAGAGCTAGGCCAAAAGCCCAAGTATGTATTTACTAATTGAACTTTAGGAGTAATACATGTGTCATAAAATTAAGTCTTCCTCTTCCTCACTCCTTAGATAAACCACAGTCAGTTTTAAAATTGTATCTGATGTTTTTTGTTTGTTTGATCAACCTTAGTCATTATCTAATATCTTCTGACTAAAGGATGAAGAATTTAGTTCCCTTAACACTACCTCCCACCTCACCTCCTCTTTTTACTTTCTGGTTTTATATTGTATACTATTATTTTGTATACTTTTTGTGATTGCTCTAAAAATTTCTGTTGCTACCTCATTATTACCTTTCTTTCCCCCTTTCTTCTCATACTCTCTCAAGTTTCATTAGTTATTACAATCCTTGACAATTAAACATAAATATTAATTCTTCTGAATTTGCACTTCCATGCTTTATCTGTAGGTTGATTTGAAAATTAAAATCCAGTAGACAACATTTACAATATTATATAACATAAATATTCACAATAGAGTCAAATACTGTGATTAGTGATTAAAGTCATGTAAAAGAAAAGATAAACCTGAATTATTTAAAGATTTCCCAGGGGACTGTTCCACATACCTCACTTAATGTATCCTTTTGTTTTGTTGTAGCTTTCTTCCCATTTACTGAGTCATCACAACTGCTACTGTTGTTTTGTATTCTATGTTGTTTTCTTTTAGAGATTCCTCTTTACTTTTGTTGGACTACCTCCTTAAGTAAATTGTTTTCTTAAAGGATACAGTAATTCCCCTATATACAAACCTTCAGGTTACGAACTTTTAACAATGCACACCTGTATTTTTTTATATATTATTTCTCTCCACCAGGTGTCAGTATAGCCCATTAAATACATACAGTATTATATAACTGATTGTGTTAGTTGCATACTTAGGCTAACTTTGTGGAACTTAAATTGGACATGTAGACACGCTCTCAGAACTGAACTTGTTCGTAAATTGGGGACTTCCTGTATTTGGATGGTAAACTTGTCAAGTGAACACTTTTGAAAATATCTTTATTGTATCCTTGCATTGGGTTGATAATTTGAATTTACACTGAAGACACAAAATCACTGTATGTACTAGTTAGATTATTCATATAGTCCCAGCCACTTCTCTGCACAGATTTATCTTCTTCCTATTATTTTTTTAAATTGACAAATTAAAAATGTATATATTAATGGTGTACAACATGATGTTTTGATATATGTATAAATTGTGAAATGGCTATATCAAGCTAATATTCTTTACTTCACATATCATTTTTCGTGGTGAGAACATATAAAATCTACTCTGGTTAGCAATTTTCAAGTATAAAATACATTGTTACTAACTGTAGTCACCATGTTGTGCAAAAGATCTCCTGCACTTCGTGTCTAACTGAAATTTTATATTTTTTAACCAACATCTCCTAAGTCTCCCCACCTCCTTCTAGAGAGTTTCTTCCACGATGATGTTTGAAATCATTCATACAGTTTCTGGTTGCTGTTTGAAGGTGTTTAGATGTTGGTAGGTGGAGTTGTGAATGTTTTTCTTTCATAGTGCTCTTGGACAAATGGTCACATTAATTCTGGATTTTAAAAGTCCACACTACATCAGATCCATGTCTAGTCCATCAATCACTGAATTCATCTTGAAGATACTCTCTTAACAGAGAAGTGTCAGGTACCGGGCACTTCCTTTGTGCAGGAGAGTTGCCCTGAGATAATAGTACAATAGAGCATATTAGAGCATGTTCAAGTTAGCAGCCCTCCTGCCTTGCATGTTTAGAACGTTTCCATCACTCCAGAAAGAAGATCCATCCTCATTAGGACTCACTCCCCATTTCCTCCCAAGCAGTAGCAGCACCTGCACGCCCCCCCCCCATCCTAGACATCCAACACGTAGTCTCTTGTGACTGGCCTCTTTGGCTAAGCATAATGTTTTTGAAGTTCATCCGTGTTGTAGCATGCATCAGTCTTGATAAACCCTTGAAAGGTGCTCTTTATTCAGCACCTTTTTTTCTTTTTGAGTTGGAGTCTCACTCTGTCGCCCAGTCTGGAGTGCAGTGGCATGATCATGGCTCCTGGGTTCAAGCAATCCTTTTGTTTCTGCGTTCAGAGTAGCTGGAACTACAGGTGTGAGCCACCATGCCTGGCTAATTTTTTTTAGTTTTTTGTAGAGATGAGGTCTTGCTGTATCACCTAGGCTGGTCTCGAACCCTTGGGTTGGAACCTCAGCCTCCCAAAGTGCTAGGATTGCAGGTGTGGGCCACTGCACCGGCAGCACTTTTAAAAGCAACTTTCTGACATTAAGTATTTGTGGTTCTTGCTTTATAATCTAATCAGTTGCCCTGCCAGTGAGGTCAGCATATGAGTTCATAACTATGGATTTGGAGTTTTGTTGTTATATGAGGAATTAACAACAAAACTTAACTCATTTCTTAGTAAAGACTTTTTGCTTTGCTTTTCTGACTTTAAGAGATAGACAGGCTGAGCTTGGTGGCTCAGCCTGTAATCCCAGCGCTTTGGGAGGCCGAGGTAAGTAGATTACCTGAGCCCGCAGGTTCGAGACCTGCTTGGGTAACTTGGCGAGACCTCATCTCTACAATAAATCAAAAATTAGCCGGGTGTGGTAGCACACGCCTGTAGTTCCAGCTACGTGGAAGGCGGAGGCGAAGGATCACCGGAGCCCAGTAGGTCGAGGCTGCGGTGGCCGGGAGTGGCCACTGCACTCCAGTCTGGGCGACAGAGTGAGACTCCAAGTCAAAAAAAAAAAAAAAAAGAGATAAACATACATCTAAGTAGACCTACTCCCAAAATATATTAAATATTATTATTTTACTTCAGTGAATTTTATGACATTTGCAGTGATTGTTTTATTCTTTCATTCTTTTGTTTTAGAGCCTTCTTGGATATGATAGTAACAATTTGAGGAACTTTTATATGTTTATGAAGACCTTTCTTCATATAACTCAGAGTGTTTCATGGAAATTCTTTGTTCTCACAGCCTTTTAAAATAGCATATATAATTTTCCATATGTGTTCAGTTAAAACACTTGGTAGCAGAAACACTTGGGAGGAGAGCTAAGATCTCAAAGAACTTGATCACTTAGGGCATCCATTGAACATTCAGAATCCATACTCTTGGTATAACCACAGTAGCCCCATTTAAACCTAAGTAATTTTTCTTGATACTCATAGTTGTACTTCTCTGAATTTGTAGAAGAGCTTCCTTTGACCAGCCACTGGTGTTGAGTCACTTCTGGAGCACGTTGAATAAAAGCAATCTTCATTCTCAAAGATGTTTATAGACTTTTTAACCAAATAGTCATAGATTAAATTGTTATTTGAAGACTTACTTGGAGAGGTTCCTAATTATCCAGATTACTAATGTGTGTTGGTTTTCTTTTGCAGAAGCTGAGCATCTATGGTGACTTGGAATTTATGAATGAACAAAAGCTAAACAGATATCCGGCTTCATCTCTTGTGGTTGTGAGATCTAAAACTGAAGACCATGAAGAAGCAGGACCTCTACCTACAAAAGTGAATCTTGCCCATTCAGAAATCTAAGGTGTTTTTTTTTTTTTTTGAGGAAAAATGTAATAGACATCTAAATTTTCATTCCTCATAGAGCTTTTTAAAATGGTTTCATTGGATATAGGCCTTAAGAAATGACTGTAAAATGCAAATAAAGTTACCTAAATTTGTGAAGACTGTATTTGCTATAACTTTACCGGTGTTTTTTTTTTCCTAGTAATTTAAGAGGTAGATGCTTGGGATTGTATTTTTATTTTACTAATATCTGTAGCTATTTTAATTGTTATTTGCATTGGTTTGTTTGTTTTTCCTTTTTTAGCCAAATTATATGTGCTGATCATTGTTCTTCCCCACCTCCTGCCATGATGCTGTCTTAGCTAATAAGCTGAATACTTAGTAGGACGTAATGCTTCTGCTCAGAAATCACCCACAAACCTGTAACTTAAAATTTAGCAGGAAATACCCTTTAATGACTCTACAGTTTCAGGAACTGAAATCATTAAAATTTTATTTGAATAATTATGTGCTGAAATTTGAGTATCTGATTTTTCAGGTCTTCCCTACCGAACCCAGAGAATTATGAAATGTTCTGTGTCTATCTACTGTGATATGATGTGATGATCAGGAACCATATTAAAGCAAAAAATTGCCTTCTCAGCAGTACATTTTAAGATACTTTGCACGAGTCATAGGTTTTTGTTGGATGAGGCCTTCCAAAGAACTTTTCTCCATTAGATAGCCTGTCAAGTGTGAGGTAAAGATATTTTCAGAGAAAACATCATTTTGACAGTAAGAATTAGACTCTTGTGATGCAGAATTAAGTATATATTTTACTTAGCAAAAACTAGTTTTCATTCATTTACCTACAGTAATATAGGTTATAAAAATAAGAGTACTATCAGGTAACATGATAATACACCAGAATCTTAATATGATTGAGTATTGTTATACCATGAAATACTAAGTAACTTTGTAAACCAATACGTTCCTTAACCACAGGGGCTTGCTATTGACCAAAGAGTGTCACTCACCCTACCACCTAGTCTTCAGTCAAAATGAAATATAATTAACAGTTAATCAAGTAAGGCTTCAGTGAATAGTTTGTCTGGATTTGGAAGACAGAGGGTTAGAAAGTTGTGAACACAGCCAGATGGGGAAGAAAGGAGGAATTACTGAGTAATCATTGCCTCTTTTTGTGAGAAAACATGGGATAAGGAATAGGGACTATATACAAAACATGGGAAATGAATTGGAATTACCTTTTTTTAAAAAGCCACATTGTTTTTTCTCCCATCATTCGTGTATACTTAGGTTCCTTAATCAGGCACAGGTTTAATTGTTGTGCATCCAGAGAGGCAAACTGAGGGGGAAACAGACAAAATGCTGGTGTTGTGTGGCGGTCAGAAAGCCCACTGTTAGGAAAGCCTTCCTTATAAAAATGAAACAGTATAAATACCTAGATAAGAAGAAGCAACTTATCTGTATTCTTCCGCCTTCTCTTGTTTTTCTCTTTGCTTCCAGAGTGAGAACTGCCTGAGGTACCTTCATTCTTCTTGAAAGCATTGATCCAAGTTTAGACAGATTATTTCCTCTCATGTTCATGAGACAATTCCTTATATGTGGAAATACCCAGTCATTCCTGATATAGTAAGTCTCCTACATATGAACCTTCAAGTTGCAAATTTTCAAAGATGCAAATGTGTGTGTTCAGTCAGTGCCAGCCCTGTATGCCACCTGTTGTACTGTACTACTATACTTTTCAAGGTACTGTACTGTAAGATGTTTATTTTTTGTGTCTGTTTTTTATGTATTTGTGTAAAAAGTATTATATACCTATTACAGTATAGTACCATATAGCTGATTGTGTTAGTTGGGTACCTAGGCTAACTTGGTTGGACTTAACAAACAAATGAGACTTACATACTCAGAATGGAATTTGCTTGTATGTAGGGGACTTACTGTATTTAGTAGGCACTCAAATATTTGTCTCCTCTTTTTTAGCATGATTAAAACAGACTAACATTTTTTTAAAAGGGTTTACTTTAAAAAATTAGCCAAAAAAATGTATACAACATAAAAGTTTCTGATTGTACCAAATCTCTACCAAAGCAACAAAACAGACTCCCAAAGCCCCTTCTCCTAAAGTAAGTTTTGCCCTTCTTGGATGGGCCCTATTTAGCTTAGTCCTTGTTTCTGTAAGACAGTCATTATCTTCTTTCCTGCCACACAGAGTGCATCTTGAAAATCTAGTTTGGTCCCGGGAAGATTCTCAAGACCCTTGAGTCTTTGGTTCAAGCTTCTCAGACCCTTAAAGTCCTTCTTGGTTCGGGTTCCTCATCAAAGAGACATGCTAATTCCGGCAATGACAGAGGCAATGCCGATCACCATAATGAATGGTCTAGACCCAAATTCCAAGTCTTTCCACAAAACTTCATGGACATCTTTCACGTATACATTTTTGGTAAATCAGAAAGATTATCCTGATCTATCTTGTCTCAGAAATTTCCATGATACATCATCAAGCTATTTGAGCTGCTAGTCAGCACATATTCCCAGCCAAAAGCAATTTACCCTTTGTTACTTGTCTGTCTGGCTTTATCTTAGATAAATAAGCCATTTTTATTATGAATTTTTTTCTGTCACCTAGGCTGCAGTATAGTGGCACCATCATAGCTCACTATAGCCTCAAACTCCTGAGCAAACAATCTTGCCTCAGCCTCCTAAGAAGCTAGGACTACAGGCACGCCACCATGCCTGGCTAATTTTTTTTTTTTTTTGGAGGGGTAGAGATGGGTTCTCACTGTTGTTGTCCAGGCTGGTCTCAAACTCCCGACCCAAAGCAATCCTCCCACCTCAGCCTCCCGAAGTACTAGGATTACAGGCCTAAGCCACCACACCCAGCCAATTTTTTAAAGTATATGAAATAGTATGATTATAATTTTTGTGGTCTGTTAAATCAGGACCACAGTTGGGGATTTATGAATCTAGAGGTTTCCAGTTAATACTGCCACCACACCAAGGAAGTGATTTTGCCCAGATACCCCATTATAGTTCCACAGTTGCATTCAACAACCACTTGAGAGCTTGAGCACCAGGCGCTGTGCTAGGTGCTAGGACAGCAGTAAGACCGCCTGACTACAAGCTTAAGGAGATTATGATGAATATGGTAAGTGTTATGAGCAGATAAGCATCGAGTACTGTGTGAGCACAAAGGAGGACCTTTCGCTTCTGGGAGGAAGTAACACCCACGCTTCGGCCTGGAGGACAAGGGAAAGCCACACAAATCTAGGGAGCAGTATTCCCAGCAGTGGGGATGCTGCGCTAAGACCTGGGGGCGGATGAGGGCTGCAAATCGTTGAGTAGGCTGAATTGTAGCCTAGAAAAGCACGGCCGTGGACGGGGCTACACAAACCAGGTGACAAAGGTCCTCACTAAACCCAGTTCTGTCCTGAGCACAGTGGAGAGCCACTGGAGGGTGTTCAGTAAGAGGGTTACGGTGATTCCCTCAGGTAACACGTAGAAGATGGACCAGATGGGTAAGTCCAGAACCAACAGCATCTTGCCCCATGGTTCTTTTTATTTAATGCCCAAGAATCCATGTCCTCTGATTTGACTTACAGTTTTACGCTCCTATCAGTACAGCTCTCTTTGTTCCCACATTACTGTTTGGAGGGTGAGCCTAGGACTGGTCTCAGGGTCCTGGTCACAACTGGAGTGTTGCCAGGTCAAATGGGAAGGCTGCTCCATGGATCCCAGGCTTCCTACCGGCCTTCTTCAGGTTAGCTGCATTTTCAAACTGCGGTGCTAGATCAGCCTTCACCACCCTCTAATTCCAGGTTTGCCAGCCAGCCTCTACGAACCCCATGCTCCTAAGCCCTTCCCAGCAGGTGTCCAGTTGCTAAGCATGCCATGTGTGCGTGTCAGTATCATCAGCCTGAGCAACCTGTGTTATCTTTCTTTCTTTGACTACTTTGTTCTAGCCTAGAGTCAGTGAGGTTATGTACAAGGATAAAAATTGAGGCTGGGCATAGTGGCTTCTACCTGTAATCCCAGAACTTTGGGAGGCTGAGGCAGGAGGACTGCTTGAGCCTAGGAGTACAAGTCCAACCTAGGCAACGTAGTGAGACCTCGTCTCTATAAAAAAAAAAAAATCAAAAAATTAGCTGATTGTGGTGGCAAACACCTAAGAGGTCAAGCCCATGGTGAATCATGATTGTGTCACTGTATTCCCAGCCTGGGTGAAGGAATGAGACTCCTGACTTTAAAAAAAAAAAGATTGAAATAGTGGAAAATATAGTCTTCCACATGTGAAGCTAGATTGTACGATTAGTGGATTTTCTGATTCCTTGTAGTAATTCAATTCTGAAGCACACATTATCAACCTTTTCTGAAATGTATGATTGCTGAAGTCTGCTTCATACATTTCACTATTAAGTGCTCTTTTTCTGTGATATCAGTGACTCTTTTGTTGTCAGACAGAAGGTCTTAACCTTTTTTGTGCCATGGAGCTTTTGGTGACCCAGTGAAGCCTGTAGCCCCCTTCTCAGAATGTTTTCAAATGCATAAAACTATAAAGGATGACAAAGGAAATGCATTATAGTAAAGTGATTAAGATATTTTCAGCATCGTGTGATACAATTACATATGTACTTTTTTTTTTTTAAGTTGGAGTCTCACTCTGTCACCCAGGCTGGAGTGCAGTGGCATGCTCATGGCCACCACAGCCTTGACCTGCTGGGCTCAGACAATCTTCCATCCTTCTGCTTCAGCCTTCCAAGTAGCTGAAACTACAGGCATGCACCACCATGCCCGGCTAATTTTTCTTGATTTATTGTAGAGATGAGATTTCACCAGGTTGCCCAGGTTGGTCTCGAACCCATGGGCTCAGGCAGTCATCTCACCTTGGCCTCCCAAAGTGCTGGGATTACAGGCTTGAGCCACCGCAGTTGGCCTGTACTTCTTTATTAACACAAAATAAGGTCAAGTCTAAAACTACTGTCATTCCGAAGTAATTTTAAAGTAACATTCTGAGATATCTGTAATAGCGGTAAGTGATTTAAATGTCTGTGATTTAGACTTGGGTCCTGCTGGCACTCCTGGGCTTGTTGCCTACATTCGTAATTGGAGGAAATGCTTGTATTTCAGAAGTTGGTGAAAATAAAGATTTAAACTTTTCCCCCATTTGCGTTCACTGAACCTCTGGTTTAGAGGTGGTCTAATTTTACTTTATCATCTTAACATTATTTTTGTTTTCTATTCAATTCTAAATTATTTGGGTTTATTTTAGTACCTCTTGTGTGCTTTTTACATTTGAATTGTTTTTGCAGTGTTAGAACAGCAGCAATGGAAGTCTTGGGTGGAGAGAAATCAGCCCCTGATTGAAGGTGAAAGGTTTCCACGAAAGCTCTTGATGATGTTACCTCTGGTATACCATCATGCTGTCATTGGAACTCCGAATCTGTTAATCTCATGCTACTTAATTATGATGTAAACTTTAATAAAACTTGGATCATCTGCATTAAACTGTATTATCATGCTCTCTTGTACAAGGGTCTACTTAGATACTTCACAGTGGAATTATTTGTTGATTCCCCATGACATTTGCAAAGCCCTCTATAGCACCATCAGGTATAACCTTCAGTGGATTCTCATAACATCCCTCTCGGAAAGTGGATGGGGCTTGACATATCTGTGATACAGGTAAGGAAACAATCTCAGAAAGGAGAGGCGGCCAGCCAGCAATCCCGGAGTCGTGCACGGGATGGCAGAGGAGTGGCCGATGCTGAGGCAAGACGCCCTCCAGGCAGGTCCAGAGCAGCTCTGGTCCTTGGGCCAGTCTCATCGTGGTGCCAGCCTAGTGTTGTCCAGCGCTGAGCCCTGGACTCAGAGGCAGTCTTAGCCCTCAAGGAGAGCCCTCTGAAACTGGAAACATGCCGAGGATCCAGAAGCAATAGTCCATCCTCCAAGGGTGCAGAGCACTTTCACACACGTGCACTCACTTCATCCCAACAACTCTTGGCATTAAGTCCTCTGAGCCCCATTTTCAGCCGAGGAAGCTGAGACAGAGAGTCTGCGACTTGCCGCCTTACATTAGCTAGGTAGTGATTTGGCAGTCAGGATGAAAACCCAGGTCTGTCTGACTCAAGCTGAGGTTTGCTGACCTCATGTCCAGTGGGTCTCCCTTTGCCACAGCCAGGCTGACACGGAGACACGGAGCACAGGAATACGTGGCAAGGGAAAACCTGAGGGACAGGAAAAGTCGAAGAAAGCTCACCTGATTCTGGGCAAGGAAGAGTTAGAAAAGTAGAAAGAGCCAGCTGAAGTCACTCTAAGCAAGGGACAAGCCACAGACTGGGAAAGACATTTATAACCCATGTAGCAAATGATTCAAATCCAACATAAAGAAATCCACAGATTGGGCCGGGCATGGTGGCACGTACCTGTAATCCTAGCACTTTGGGAGGCCGAGGCAGGAGGATCATTTGAGCCCAGGAGTTCAAGGTTGTGGTGAGTGGCAATCACACCTCTGCGCTCCAGTCTGGGCAACAGAGTGAGACCCTATCTCAAAAAAAAATTCACAAATTGATTTTTAGAAAAACAAACCACACATAGAAAAATGGGCAACAGCTATGAAAAGGCAATTTGCCAGGGAGGAAAAGGAGATGGGATAATCAAGAACTCTCATACACAAAGGTGGGAGTGGAAATCAACTCCACAGGTCCACAGGTCCACAGGCTGGAAGTAAAAATCGGTCTGGGATCAAACCTCAGCTTTGCCATTTACTCACTGCACAGCTTTGGGCAAGTTACTTAACCTCTCTGAACCCCAATTTCCTTGCCTGTCAAAAGGGTGTAATAATATTACCAACCACACAGATTTGTGAGGACCAAGGGAGAGAATGTGCGTAAGGGAACTGGTCTAGTGCGTGGAGCATAGTAGCTGCTCAGTAAATAACAGCTGCCTCCCCTCCATCTGTCCCCTTCCTTCGAGGGTCAGGCTGTGAGTCACCGTGACTGTGACTCCAGGAAGTTCGGGGATTGAGGCACCAGGGCCGCCCCTCTCCCTCTTGCCAGGACCCCCTGCTGCCTGTCTCTCAAGGGTTCTTGGTGACAGCCTGAGCCTGGAGAAAGGCAGTGCTTCCAGCACCATCAAGTGTGTCTGTACCTGCACTGAAGCTGGAGTCCCAAGAAGGGGGCACAGCCCTGAAGAGGCTTTTCGTAAAGGAACACTAACAAATCTCAGAGTCAAGGAAGGCCAGATGCTGAAGGGCATGACTTGCTCCAGGAATGGCAAATGGCATCATGTCTGATACCACTCTCCACTCTTACACTCATGGCAGACATCACTAATCAGTCACAGACTTGACCTCAGAATCCTCCTGAGCCCCATGATCTAGACAGCCTTTACCAGTCAACGGCAGTTGGCAGGCACAATGAAATCTAGTCGACATCTTTAGCAGATGCCTTCAGTGCCCTGCCTGTATCCTTCCCCTTTTCCCATTTCAGGACACACCGCCTACCCCACAGCTGCCAACACTGGCATCTTCTTGCCTAAGGTTGTGCCAGGAATTAGCACCCTCCAGCCATTCCCAACCAGTGACTGGCAGCAGCTGGTGAATACACACCTCGGTCTCCCCCCACTCAAGCGGATGACTTTGAGGAGCGTCTTCTCTGGGCTCTCCTGAATGCCCTGGCAGGTTTGAATTCCACTTGCCCACAGCGGGGACATGCCACTAGAGCTGTCTCTTCCCTGTCTCACTTCCCTCACTCCCCAAACACGTCCCCTGGGATCATTTCCACTTAAACCTGCTTGTACTCAAATCTTGTCCTGGGGGGTAATTCTGGGACCCTACACTAAAACACCCACTTCATCTAGCCTGCACCCTCATTTTGCAGGTGAAGGAGCCAAGGCCCAAGGAAGGGGATGACTTGTCCTGATGAGCACGCCGTCCTCCTGGCCTAAGACTCAGCTCTTCCCAGTGTCACTTGCTGTCCCCTGAAGGCTGCCCCTGCGTTTACCCCTCAACCCTCCCCCCACCACGAACTCAGCATTTTGGTTCCCAATGCAAAAGAAAAGGCTGATCACAGGTTAGAAAATCTACAGTCATCAGAGGCAAGGTGCAGCAGGGCTCCCTGGAACACCTGAGCTCATTTCTGGAGCGGACACCTCTCCTTCTCCCTTGGTCTGGTCCTTGGACCAGTCCCTCAAGCTTCCAGGACCTTGGTCTCACTGCCACCTGCCCCTGAGCGAACAGAAGGGGCTGCTCAGGTAAATAACCAGCCCCTGCCCTCCCTCACCTCAGGCATCTCAGGGAAAATAAAAATGCACATTGCCACATTTTTTTCTCTCTTTATTTCAGCAGCTTTAGGGGGTGCAAATAGTTTTTGGTTACATGGTTGCATTGTGTGGCTCAGCCTGTAATCCCAGCACTTTGGGAGGGCGAGGTGAGAGGATTGCCTGAGCCCACAGGTTTGAGACCAGCCCAGGCAATTTAGTGATACCTCATCTCTACAATAAATCAAAAATTAGCCAGGCGTGGTAGCACGCCTGTAGTTCCAGCTCCTTGGAAGGCTGAGGTGGAAGGATCACCGAGCCCAGCGGGTTGATGCTTGGGTGACTGTGAGTGTGCCACTACACTCCAGCCTGGACGGCAGAGTGAGACCCCAATTTAAAAAAAAAGAGTATCCACACCCCCTACCTATGCACATTGTACCCGATAGGTGATTTTTAACGCCTCCTCCCCACCTCCCCTCCCACTTCCGAGTCTCCAATGTCCATTATGCCATTCTCTATACTATTGTAGATCTTAGTTTGGTTCCCACCCATAAGTGAGAACATGTGGTGTTTGGTTTTCTGTTCCTGAGTTAGTTCACTTAAGACGATGTTCTCCAATTCCATCCCACTTGCTGCAAAAGACACTATTTAGGCCGGGCTCGGCGGCTCAGCCTGTAATCCCAGCGCTTTGGGAGGCCGAGGCGAGTGGATTGCCTGGGCCCCCAGGTTAGAGACCCGCCCGGGCAACTTGGCGAGACCTCATCTCTACAATAAATCAAAAATTAGCCAGGCGTGGTAGTGCGCGCCTGAAGTTCCAGCTACTTGGAAGGCTGAGGCGGAAGGGTCGCCGGAGCCCAGCAGGTCAAGGCTGCGGTGGCCGGGAGCGGCCGCTGCACTCCAGTCTGGGTGACAGAGTGAGACTCCAACTCAAACAAACAAACAAACAAACAAAAAAGACACTATTTAATTCTTTTTGATAGCTGAGTAGTATTCCATAGTGTATATATGCCACACTCTCTTTTTTTAATATATATTTTTTATTTTAAAATTGTGGGGTACAGTTAAGGGTTAGGTATGCAAATATTCATATTTGCAGCTACCCTTGTTGATGAGGTGTGCCCCCCTTTCCCCAGATAGATACGAATACTTTTCATTATCCACTGATTGGCTGATGGGCATTCAGGTTGATTCTACATCTTGGCAATTGTGAATTGTGCTGTGATTAGCATGCAGGTGCAGGTAGGTGTGTGTGTGTGTGTGTGTGTGTGTGTGTGTGTGTGTGTGTGTGTAATGACCTCTGTCCCTTTGGGGAGATACCTAGTAGTGGGATGGCTGGATCAAATGGTAGATCAACTTTTAACTAAAAACGACTTCTGAGCAATCTCCATACGGATTTCCATAGAGGTTGAACTAATTTTCACTCCCACCAACAGTGTATAAGGGTTCCCTTTTCACCACATCTGCCCCCGCATGTATTTTAAAAAAATTTTTTTAAAATAATGGCCATTCTGACTGGTGTAAGGCGGCAGCTCATTGTGGCTTTCTTTAATTTGCATTTCCCTGTTGTTAAGTGATGAACATTTTTTATATGTTCAGGGGCCATTTACATATCTTCCTTTTTGAGTTGGAGTCTCTGTCACCCAGGCTGAAGGGCACTGGCACACTCCCAGCCACCACAGCCTCGACCTGCTGGGCTCAGGTGATCCTTCAGCCTCAGCCTTCCAAGTAGCTAGAACTACAGGAACACACCACCATACCTGGCTACACGGTGCCACCGTGTACCCGAAAGCTATTTGCATCCCCTAAAGCTGCTGAAATAAAGAGAGAAAAAAATGTGGCAATGTGCATTTTTATTTTCCAGAGATGCCTGAGGTGAGGGAGGGGCAGGGGCTGGTTATTTACCTGAGCAGCCCCTTCTGTTCACTCAGGGGCAGGTGGCAGTGAGACCAAGGTCCTGGAAGCTTAAGAGACTGGTCCAAGGACCAGACCAAGGGAGAAGGAGAGGTGTCCACTCCAAAAATGAGTTCAGGTGTTCCAGGGAGCCCCTCTGCACCTTGCCTCTCATGACCATAGATTTTCTAACCTGTGATCAGCCTTTTCTTTTGCATTGGGAACCAAAATGCTGAGTTCTTGAACCCCTGGGCTCAGGCCATCCTCTCACCTGGGCCTCCCAAAGTGCTAGGACTATAGGTGTGAGTCACCGGCCTGGCCCTGTTTATCTTCTTTTGAGGGATGTCTATTCATCTCGTGTGCCCACTTTTTAATGGGGCCATTTGCCCTTGTCTTGCTGATTTGTTTGAGTCCTTTGTAGATTTCGAATAGTAGTCCTTTATCAGATTATACAGTTTGCCAATATCCTCTCCCACGTTGTAGGTTGCCTGTCTGCTCTGTTGATTGTTTCTTTTGCAGTGCTGAAGCTTTTTAGTTTAAGACCCATTTACCTATTTTTTGTTTTTGCCATATTTGCTTTTGGGGGCTTCATCATAAATCATTTACCGAGGCCAATATCCAGAGAGTTTCCAAAGGAAATAATTGAACACTATATCTGCTTTATAATTTTAGTGGAAAATGCAGACGCTTTCAACCTAGATGGCCTCTTTAGTTGAACAGAAGAACACGGATGAGAAAATGGCCCGCGCCTTCTAGCCAGGGCAAGGCTCATTCTGAATCTCTCTGCCGGCATTCTCACACAGCGGGGCGTGAGACCCTGCAGCCCCCTCACTGGTGTGGAGGGAAAAGCACGTCCCGAAAAGCTCCTGGGTTGCCATCTCACCCCTCCCACCTCCTGAACCCAAACCCTTCCTCTGTGGACCGAGGAGGGCGAGGACGCCAAGCTCGGAGTGCTGCGGCCAGCCTGTCGAGGGGGAAGGCCCGAACTGCACTCCCCACCCCCGCCCCCCG